CCAGTATCCACACAAAATGTACAAAATCTCTTGACTATCTCTATACATTTCCCTAAAAAATTAGTTGAGAGAATTTGTTGAAAAATCAAATATTTATAATTTTCTAGCTAGTGATCATTTTATTAATTCTCATAACCTTATTTTTGGATTAGGTATTGACATTTTTAGGGGAAAATTGAACTCTTTAGGACTTGAAGGGTTAAAACAAACCATGAGCTGGTAAAAATTATATTGAAGAACTGTGGTTTAGATATGAAGCAAACACATGTAACTACAATCCTGGCCAAAACGTTTTGCGATACCTCCCCTTTTTCACGTGTTTTTGTATGGAATTTGCGGTTAACCTGCAATACAAACTCTTAAACACAGCCTTAACAAGATTTTTCCTCCACCGACCGGCCCCTGAACAAAGTTGAGGTCCTTAACGTTTGCAAGACAAGTAAAAGGTGTTTTGAGTTGTAACACCCAACACTGTTCAGGGGGGAGGGGGTCAACTTGAATTACATTTTCCACACCTAAACACAAAGTGTCCCAAACGTTTTGACCAGGATTGTAGATGTAACTAGTGCTAGGCAGAGGGAAATGTCTGTGAGTAAACTATTGCTGGTTTTGATTTTGTTTTTAAGTGGATTTTTGATTTTTTTTTTCAATCAAAAAGCTTGATAATGGAAACACAAACCATTTGTAACTTTAGTTACTATGGAAACAAGTCAATATTTTGGACTCGTCAAGCCATATGATATTATATTAATTTGCCTTTGAGTTCTCATATTCCTAGGTATATTTGTATGTGTAATCAAATGGTGACGAGTGAAATTAGGGAATGACATTTCATGTGTGTTTTATCCAAATTCTAATAATTACCATTATGAGTATACCATTTTGATTATTTTTATCATGAGTGACAAATTACGCTCACAATTTTAGCCATTTTGTCAAAAGCAACATTGTAATTTCACAACAACGCTGTAAATTATGCAAAAAATAACTACATATGGTGAACATATGGACGTTTTGTTTACCAACCAAAAATTTCAGTGCTAGCCACTCTTTTAATGTGTTTAAACACTAACTTGCACTAAACACTGCTGTTAATGCGTTATGTTTCAAAAAATCACCATGGTACCAGAACATTTCTTGTAGTTACAGGGATGTTTCTTGTAGAAAATAGTATGTTTCTATTATTAGCATTAGTGTAACAGATAAGGAGTAAATACTTTTATTCAGGTCGTGTAAAACGGTGACAATGTAGCATAATGTTAATATAAAGATAATTTACGATTTTGTAGGCATCTACGACATTTCGATGCTTATTTTTTATTTATAGCTACTAACAGCATTCTTCAAGTAGCTGAAAAAAGGGCAGTCAAATAGTATGCCAGTAAATAAAATTTATTCTGTGTTCATATATATCCTCATGTTTCTTTCCCAATTCTTTTGTTTCTTTTCATTGGCTAGCCTTTCTCTTCGACTGGTTTTTCTTGGCTTGTTTACCTCCTTGTCTTTATTGCTAACTTTTCTCCTCTTCACAGCAGTACGGTCATTTGGACCAAAGTGCGTTACTCTTGGCTGTTGACGACCCTTGCTACCTAAACCCAGACGATCTCTTTTAAGGACTGTCTTAATGGGAAATTTTCTTCCAGCTCCTTCTGGACCTAAACCTGTTCAGAAGGGAATAAATTAAAGAATGTCAATTTTTGGGGGGGTAACACTATGTTTCACAAGTGTGAAGCCAACTGCACAATTTTATGGACTTAAAATAAAATTTGAAATGAAGTCACTATTGTGACTTCCCACCCGGTGTTTGGGAGGTCATAGGTTCGAATGCAGTTGGAGACTTAGATTTTTTTTGTCCCACGCTCGTGACATGCTGATTATTTCATTTTCACATTTGTTTCACCGCGCTTAAAATTTACCATCTTTCATTCTTTCACCACACATTGAGACATCAATATTGCTGATCCTTGCAGTATGCAGGACGCGTGTCAAATATGAACTTAGTATATTATGGCCTCGCTCTCCATGGCAGAGTTCTCCATAGCTTAAGTGGATAGAGCGTCCGCCCAGTGTTTGGAAGGTCATAGGTTCAAATCCTGGACTTAGATTTTTTTCTGTCCCACAATTGTGACATGCTGATCATTTCATTTTCACATTTCTTTGACCGAGCTTAAAATTTACCATCTTTCATTCATTCAAAGTCACTATTATTAGATATTTTAGAAGGCAAATTAAAGTGTTTTGATTGCTTAAAGTAAACAATTTTTTTTTCTAAGAGGACAAAAAGAAAAGACCTCTGCCACAATGGAGAGGTTTTTGTAGATTCTGTTCTACGAGGAGCCCATTACCGTACCCACTGTAAGAGCAGAGCCTCCTCCTTCTAGATCAAGGAGGAAAAAAAAGGAGGCTCTCAATGAATAATGTCAAGCCTTAGAAGTCACCCTGGCCCGAACTTCTGGACTAGTCAATCTTGTTTTCTCTCAACAAACTGGTTTTGCAATCATGAGCATCCAACTGTTGATAAACCGATGATCATAGTTGGGCCTGCTGAACCAAGCACCAGCCATTAGGCCTGAGTTGAAGACTTTATCATAGCAACATGCAGAGCATGCTCAACAAAGATCTTACATGATTCATGAAGAGGCTTCTTGAGTACAGTCGAACCTCTGCTAATGGTCACCTCTCTACAACAGCTACTTTCTTCTGTCCTCAAGGTAGCCGTTGTAAAGAGGTTCAACTGTACACCAAAATCAAGCAAGCAAAACCAAGGCTCGACTGGCAGGGTGCCCATTACCCTGAAATGAGCCCCTTCTTTACCAGGAGTTGTATGTGTTCCTGGGTTACTGTACTTTTCATAAGTTTTACTATGTTCTTGTTATAACTGCAGGGTTCACCTATTTCCCATTTTTGGTTACTGTTAGGGGTTTTGACCAAACCCCCTAAAACATCCTTAGATCTTCCCCAAAACATTTCAATACAATGTCCTTTTGATACAGGTTACTTTGAAAAATTTTACACAGTTGGCTTATAGAACAAGGAATATTCATGCCATATGTTTTTCTTGGTCACATGCTAACTATACTTTGAGTGGCTGAAATTAATACGCAGTTTTGCCACCTAAGTTCCTATCAAAATGACTTGTTTCAAAAGGACTTTGTATGGAAAAAAACGGTTTCCTCCCAAAAGCAACCAAGTTTGGATCTTGTGCCCCTTTCAATATTACTTCTGAAGATTAATAATTAACTGATCAACTGCAAAAAGAAAAAAGTTAGTAAAGAACAAACCTTTGTCATCATTCCAACCAGATTTTAACATCATTAATTTTTGATACCCAACATTGCCTTCTGGGATATAATAAAACGTCTTTTGAGGCTTGCGTTGTATATTAAACAAGTGAACTGTGGATCCCTTGTGTACCTTTTCATCATCTGTAAACTCTTGCTCGCAAACTGAGCACCAAAATTTTGTTTTCTCAGTGGAATGTTTATTTTCTCTCAGATCAGCTTTCCAATGTTTGGATTTGATGCAACCATTATAGGACCTGAGAAGTTCTACAATGTCAAAATGTTTAGCAACTATAGCAAGATCCAGTGCAGTTCTTCCTTGTAAGTCCTTGTGAAGTCTCCAATCAGCACCTTTCTCTAAGAGGTATTTCACAACATGAACCTGCCCACTATGAGATGCACACATCAAAGCAGTCCAGGAAAACTGGTCACACACATCGATGTCTATGCTATGAGATGAAAGCATATCTTTAACTTGTCTTAATCTTCCTTCCTGAGCATATTGCAGAAATTGATTTACAATTCTGTGATTTGAAGAACTTGAAACACATTTATTTGAAATTCTTGATCTTGAACAGGGAATTTTGTAGTTCACATCGTTACATTTACTGTCACCATCAAAATCGTCATTACCATCTTTAGTTCCACTGGGTGATATTAAATTATTCTGTTTGTATTTTTCTCTTTTTGAACTGAGTTCTTGTTCAGTTAATGCCTTTGCATAGTCAAAACCTTCTCTATTAGAGCTTTCAGAAGACAAAACAGTTTCGTAAAATGTTCTTGCTTCCTCGCCGGACATCTTTCCACATAACTCATCACATCTTGAATTTCCATCTGATGTGCATGTAAGGTTCTCAGATTCTTTGGCCTTTGCTGTAACAAACCTCTGTAAAACGTACGAAAAACTCATTTCTAGGACAGACATTGATGATAGCACACTGAAAATCCCTTTTGTATGAATTATTTGACTCAATAGTATCAGAGCCGTGACTTTTAAAACAAAGGACAGAATATTTCACTTAACGTTTTCCGCCATCTTGGTTTTATGCAACGTAACCTCGTTTCTATGGACCTGAAAACGAGGTTGCTAGACAACATTCTGGTATTCACTGCGGAGTTTTTCTGCACCGTTTGTCGCGATTGCGCGGTCCTTAAATTGTCTTCGATCTTAGAACAGAGCATACAAGAATGAGATAGCTCTTTTAATGACTGGTGAACTGTTATCAAAACGGAGATGGATGACGCGAATTTTATGGTTTAATGTGAATATTGCTAAATTGAACGTGAGTGATTCGATGCTTTTCGAATGACGCACTGATTTTCCTCGAGCCGTGGTAAAATATTGGCGTTAAAACAGTTCCTAACATCATGGATAAATTCGTAATCGTTGGGGGATTTTTATGCTTTGCGGCCGATGTATTTGCAATCGCTTCGCTGGCGACTCCGGAATGGGTTGTGACAGACTTTGCTGGTAAGTTGAGCTGTAATTAAGAATTGAGCGCAAGTCAAAAATAGCGGTAATAATAACATTATGAATATGGCGCAGATTATTTGAGCTTAAGTACATGTTTAAAAGTGCATGTTTTACCTTTGTACCAATTTTTTTCTAACAACAAATACTCATATCGTGGCCATCACAAGCCTTGACTGCAGCAGGAATCGTTAATTTGTCAAAATGCCCACGAGTTTTAATAGCATTATCACATGCAACCATAATGTAAGCTTACTTTGTGGGTAATCTGCCTAATGATTTGTAATTTTTTCTGCAAAGTTTTATTATTGACTTCATTTCTAAAGGACCCTCAAATATTCCTGGTCAATGTCGACAAACAAACTGAATCACCCGGTGGGCCGGGGGAGGGGGAGGAGTGGGGATGGGGGAGGGAGGACATCCTGTGAGCAGGGTGAGAAAAGGAGGCTCTGCCTGAATTAGCCTGCGAGCAAGCTCTCCTATTTGGGCGAGTGAAGCAAGTCTCGTGAGAACACGCGAGCGAGCGGCGGGGCCACAAGGGGCAGAGAAAAGGAGAGGTTGCAACGATCTTGGCCCCTCGCTCGCGCGTTCTCGTGAGGCTCACCCAAATAGGATAGCTTGCCCACAGGCTATGCCAGAATCGCATCAAGCTTTTGAAATGGCTGAAGTTGAAATTTCTGGATTAGTTTTCTCTCAACAAACTGGTTTTACAAGTGCAAGTATTTGCGTATTGCAACCAATGTCGCAACTGAGACGATGTACCATGCGCCCAGCTATTGGGTCTGGGTTCAAAACTGCATCGTCGCAACATGCAACACATGCTTAGCAAGATTTTACTCATTTCATGTAAAATCATTCTCAAATACTCTGAAATCGAGCAAGCAAAGGAGAGACTCTGATGGCAGGCTCGTGGAGGGGGGAGGAGTAGGAACCTTTTACATTAGAGAGATTAAGATTCACGTTTACGCCAAACAGCAAACGTGAATTTGTACCATGTGACCAAGCTTTTCCCTTAATTGTCCTTAAATGTTTATTACTTCAACTAAAAAATAAGTAGTTTCATGTCAGTTTTATACATAAGAATCAATTGTTCTGGACAGTTTTTATCTGGTTATTTTCTATTCTGAGAATTTCTCAACTAGAATCTGACATTTGCCATTTGGCATAAACGTGAATCTTAATCTCTATTATTGGTTTTTTGCCATCACATGAGAAGGTGGCTATGTTGGTTGAAAAAATAAAATGCATGTGATATTATTACCACATGTTAGATCAATAGCTTACACCTTCAATCATGCCAGGCAAAAGTGACAAGGATCAGTGGTAGATCTAGACATTGAGATAGGTGGGGGGAGGGGTGGGATAGGGTGCTCATCTGGATGTTGACATAAGGGGGGCAGTCAGGAAAAAGAATTTCTAGACTATGAGGCAATTTGATCTTAAAATAAGGGGGCCCCTCCAGTATATCTACCACTGGGTATTAGGCCCTGTTCTTTCCGGTTTGTTGCTTTATGGTCTTGATAGTCAAAGTGATGTGTCTACCTTAAATATTGCAGGTTCTGTTCGGCTTGGTTTGACTGTCATGTGTCAAAAGTCAGATGGACAGCCAGAAGTGTGCATCACCCCTGAACTACCCCAAGAGTGGCTGGCCACACTAGTTTTTATGATTTTGGGTGTTATAGCTTTAACACTAACTTGCTGTCTATTAGTCTTGTCACCTTGGAAACCAACTATCGTTGATGCAGCAAAGTGGATTGTTTTTATTGGAAGTAAGTCAGTAAATTTATGTAGTGTCAGTCTGATTTGGCCAATTTTTCATTCACCCTTGCCTTTTATAATATTTTTTCTTACTTTTGTTTTGTTTTAGTGATTGTGTTCTGCCTGGCAGCTCTGACATTTCCACTGGGATTTCAAATGCCTGAAATTGGTGGTAGACCATACAAGCTTCCACATGGCACTCATGTTGGACCATCATTCTTCCTCTACATATTTTGTATAGTTTTCACAATTGCATCTGAACTATTTATATTCAAAGTTTGTCCTCTCTTGCTTAGATGATCAATAGGTTTTCTGTTACACTGTTTTGTTTTAGTTTTTCCTTCTTATGATAATGGACACAGTAACAGGGTACGGCATCTCCTTGAATAAGTGGCATGCACCAGAAAGCTTATTTAAAATCGAAACAAAAACAAGAGTGCATATTTTAACTTGGGAATAATACTTATAAAAGAACTATGTAAGCATTTGGACCTAGAGACAACTCGCACTCACTAGACAGTGATAAAACTGTATTCTAGATTTTTGATAGTGTAGTTAAAGTTTTAAATTTAAAATAATTTTGTGAAAGGGAGAAAGGAAGGAGACTTGTAACACCTGTACTACTGTATAAGTGTTAGGAATCAGCTAAGATTTCAAAATCAATCGTTCAAAATATTTAGAATGACCTGGCCAATTGATCATTGATTATAAGAATTGTTCTTGTTACTTTTCGCCTGTCTGTGAGTCAAATCAAATGTTGGTTTTATCATAATACACAAAACCAAATGCAAACAAAACTAGGGAATTCTGCAATGCTGTGTTTTTAAACATGGCAAAAAGATGTATGAATGTACCAGAAGGGGTCATCAATGCATTATAGCTGCATGTTAAGTCCATTAAATTAGACAACTTTACACAATTGTTAACTTTTGTCAACAATAATATTTATCTTTCTTTTAATTGTTCTGCGAAAATCTATTGAACATTTTCTATAAATTAATTTTTTACCATCTTTATAGCTGAAGGTTTTCATAGAATGATTGATTATACTTAATGATCGGAAACCACTATCTGTGCTTTTGAAGGTAAGGGAGGGGGTGGGGAGAGGATACTTCATGGGGTTATTTATTTGCTGCAACTAGAAAAGGAATTGATTTGCTGCAACTAGAAAAGGGTCTTATTTGGGGAAATACAGTACTAACTGCTGTAGCCTTTACCAGTCTCCAAGATGGTAATGAAGGGAGATTGTAAAAATTGATGCGATAAGTGCCCAGGGGCTGGGGAAAGAGAAGGCACCACTGCCCCCTCTCCAGACCACATCTTAGTGTTGGTGTTGTCTCCACTATCTGAGAGCCTGGCAAAGGCTATAACTGTGGAACTGCTCTATGCATTGGGTAGCTTAAAATTTTGTGAATTTTTGGTACAGTTGACTTTGCACTAGGTTGATCAGGGCTGTAGGTAGTACAAGGCAAGACAATGGACCTGCTTCATCTTCATAGTTCATCTCAAACTTCAAAAAAAATTGTGTTCCAATTCAAGGGAAGTCAAAATAATCCTAGCTGAATAAGGTTGATTGTTCTGAAGAAATACCGAATGAAAAATGCTAAAACTAGCAAAATTACTTTTAAAATTTTATAGTGCATGTCCCTAGACACCCAACCGTGGAGCAAAGAATGGGTATTAACATATTTATACCAGCTTAAGAGCCAGGTCTCCTTTGCTCAAATCTTTTTTTTTTTTTTTTTCAAGTCTAACCTTGACAATAAAGAGTAGTATTTTTGATTAGTAAGAGACAGCAACTAGTTTATCATTATTAAACACTTAGGGTCGGTTATTTAAATGAAGTCTAACTTAGACCACAATTTAGCAAATCTTTGGACCTTAAGATCTCTTCCTTAGTGGGTTTTTGTAAAGAAAACAATTTCTTTTCCAGTCTACACCATATGCTTTCATGAAACCGTTCACATTAAATGGTGTTTAAATGAAAGCATTCAGCAAACTGAAAATGGCTTAAAAAGTGGTTTTATTAAACACTGGCTACACTCTGTTTAAACTGGCCCTCAAACTTTTGTAATCAGTATATCAAACAGAAGGTGCAGTGTTATCATCCACTTTCCGGACTACAAGAAGTGAGTAGGAAAAAGAAAACACAGCAAAGGGTTTTGTACTAGAGTGCAGATAGTCTCTTACTTTTCTTTGCAAAGTTACTCCACACAAACCATTAATTTAACTGTGCATACTAGCAGTGAGTGGCAAAGACACAAGCAGCGATTTAGGGGGGTCTAAGCCCAAAAAGAAAAATAATACACCGTTAGCTCTTACTTCTGTCTGGGGACATCAATCTCATTATAAAGTAGACCTGGGCCCAGTTGTTGGAAGGCTGATTAGTGCAAACCTGAAGATAAATTTTAACCCAGCTTTCTGTTCCTGTGTTAAAAAGCATTTTCTTGGATAATTTTCTCCATTTTTTTTAGAGTATCCAACCATCAAATTGTAGACAAAAATAATTAAACTGAAATTGCTTTTAAGCTTTCATATTTGGATTCAGATTTTGCATTAACCTTGGGTTATCTTAACTCAAGCTTTGAACAACCAGGCCATGGTTTCTCTGTCTCGTCCCAAATGATGTCATTGTTTGCAGACACTCTAGCTTGGATAAGAACTTGACAGATTCTAAGGGCTTGTTTACATGGAGGTGGAGGACCCCAGGAAGGTGAGGTAATCCACCTGTCCATGTAATCTCTCATGTGGTCACCCCACCTATCATGTAAACATGATCAAATTAAAATGAATGACTATAAGGACAGGTGGGTTACTCCACCTAGGTGGGTTACCTCACCTATCTGGGGTCCCCCACCTACAGACCCTGGGAGAAAAGGCATACTGCAAGCAGTCTATTTTTAGACCTACTTCAAGGTGTCTTGATCTTGGATGGAACACTGTGCTGACTGGAGTGTTTGATATAGCTTCCTAATTGATCATTTATTGTTGAAGAAATTACAAGTTAACATTTTGTTTAATGTTTTGGTTATTATTTTTTTTACAACAACAACAAGTTTATTTCAATTTAAGTATAGCTTACAAAGCTTGTGCCCAATATCCAATATCCAGACCTTCTTCATACTCATGATTTTCTAAGACTGCTTTTTCCTCTTCATGAATACCGTAAATGATCTAATAGACGTCTGGAACGTTTATTGAATTTTAGGGGTGCAAGAGGGGGAGTTTAATAGGTGGGAGGCGTTTATTCTCATAACCGCAACAAACTCAACAAAACTAAAATGCCTTCTCCCCAGCAAAAATATCAAGAATTTAAAAATAACGGAATATCCACTCCAACATAATGGATACGTTTATGGTGTCTAAAGATCCGTATGGCTGTTTCAAATCTCAACATCAATTTCAGAATCCTTGCTTACGGTCATTGTTGTCATCGTTAATCTATCCTCACTTTGAACTTGACATTGAATGAGATACAATATACAAACCATTGCTACTCAACAAGAAAACTAAAAAATTGAATGATTTTGCACTCTAGAGAGAGCATGTGATTACATCATTTTTGTGCTGGCTGAGGAAATCTGTTTTTGCCCCTTGGTTTTTAGGCTAAAAGGCAAAAATTCCATTAAGCAAAAGCAAGCGCTTTACACAATTTTATGCTGCAAATAAATCACCCATGACACAATAAAAAGGATTGGTGTGACACGAGTGTCTGGTAGGGCTTCAAGGATGGAAAAGTAAACACCAATATCATTCAAAATTTGCTTTATATACATTTTATTTCACTTCATTTTGTAACAGTTTACTTCAACTCCTTAACGGCCAAACCTATCAAAAAAGGAAAGTAGAGAAAATTAATGGCACAATGGCAAAAAAGAAAACATACAAGGCAACCAAAGCTTTAAAGAAATCAAGATTGTGAAGAAGCAAACAAAGAATAGTCGTTACTTTGGCGAAGATATTTCAACTTTCCCTAAAAATAATTTCAACAACTCATCCCAGTCAAATGGAGCTGACAATCAGCAATTTTGTCCCTTTCAGGGGAATATTTGCCACCTACTTAACATGTAGACTACGTAATACAAATAAATATATGAAAACCACACAAATTTAGGCCTTTGCCTCCTGCTTCTCTGGTGACTTTGACTAAAAGTTATTGTTGTTGCTGGGTATAATATGTTAGCATCTAAACAACAGAAGTCTGCTGAGATACCTCGTCCATTACTGACACAATATTTAAAAACCCACTTTTTATGTCAAAAATAGAAGGGGACACATGCTTATCCATGACAAGCAAATAATAAAGGTGAGCAAGGTATTATGTACATGTATGCTTGTTGAAAGGAAACATAGCAGCTCAGTAAGTGTTTTTGAGCTTCACGGCAGCAAAATGTCTCTTCTGGTGAATGGTGCAAGCATTTCTCAGGATGGCATGGGCGCACTTTCAACTGGCTAAAAAATTGTGCGTTTACTGTTGTTCTGTTCACACAGAACCACCTTAGTGATACAAACATTTGGGTGCCTGGTTGTTCAAAATTCTGTGTGAACAGAGTGAAAATATTGATCAGTCCGGTTTGAATAAAGTGTTCGGTCAAATTTTTCAGCTGGTTGAAAATTCATCAGGTGTCCTGTGAAATTGGCCTTAGAATGACCCTCATATGACATGACATTAGACAAAGTTATATCACCTGAATTCTCTTTTAAAATGCTTAAATATACTGGTTACAGAGAGTACAGTGCCTCACAACAGTAAGGTATGTTGGGCACTTCACGACTATGTAGAAAGAGTGGATCTTTGCAAGGGATAGTAAAATTGAGAAAAAAGTTGGGCAAATAGATATATATACAAGAATGCAAAGTAACAAAAGTGTGAACATGTGAGAATAGCTTGTCCACAGACAGGCTGGAACTCGTGCTTCTTCAAGCTCTCGTGTGCTGCTTTTGATAACTGAAGAAAAATGAAGAAGATTCAAACAAACCTGGAGGCAGAGACTGCTTGAGTTTGTCAGCTTTCTCTTTGTCTTGAATGACCAGAGTGTAAAGATAACGACTGCATCGCACCTTGAACTTAACAGTATCTTTTATCTTCTTTATTTTCACAGCTATGTACAAAAAAAAGCTCTCTTAAAAGTGGGTTTAATAAGGAGTGCATGAAACATAAAATTCTAGGGCCAAAACACAATGGAAAACAATTCAGGCCTTGCACCAAGTCACATAATAATCACACATTCACCAAAAACTAAACACCATATGTAACCACCTGAGGTGGGCTACCCACTTCCAATGATAAGCAACCACCTTTGCAAAACGCCAAAATTTTCCCACAGCCTTATAGCTGGAACCTCTTCTAAGCGACCAAAAACATTTTTGGGAATGACAGTTTTGTAAAAATATTTTCAAATTTTTTTCTAACCACTTGTAGGGACTTGACTTGACGAACGGAAGATCTCTAAACTGCTGTATCTGCTAGTAACATTACTCAGATCATACAAAGGACTTTTAATTGCAACATCTACATACCCTGTTTCCTCAAATAAGCGCTGTGGCACTTATTAAATTTTTCACGCCTCAAATGCAACCTTTATTAGAGGGCAGCACTTATTCAAGTATATACAAAATATTATAACTCAGAAACTGCATACAATAAATTCTCTTCCAAAAAGCAGATGTGTTGGGACACCTACATGGAGAGGACTCCTGTGGTTTGATTCTCATATGTAAATACAGTACTGCTCAAAAGTAAGTTGACAGTCACTCGCGTCTCGATCCTCGAGACTCAAGAAAAATACACTGTATATGCAGGATAAATCTTCGAAACCAAAAATATTGATTTACGCTTATTAAAGGCTTGCGGAAACAGGCAATTCAAACAATTAAAGAACACCACACTGCAATCACTGATCATCTGTGCAAATTTCTGAATGGCTGTGTGAATGTGCAACAAGAAAGCAAAATTAATTCCAAGTAGAAATGTTGCTTCTCAAAACTCAAAGCCTGAAACTTGAGACTCGATCCTTGCATCACAAAACTCGAAGCGTTCAAGCTTCAAGACGCAAGGATCAAGTCTCGAGGATTGAGTCAAGACTGTCAATTTACTTTGAGCGGTACTGTACCTCCTGTAAGCAACCATAAAATCTTTGCATTTCAAGATGCTTGCGGAAGGTTTGACTTTAAGCACTTTAAACATTATGGCAGAATTCAATTTGTCATTTTTACAACATAACAAAGACAAAGGAAACACAGGACCATCAAGTCACGTATAAATCTCTTTCAGAAATGCAGATTTGAAGTGGTAATATACTTTGCAAGTCTTTGCAAGTTCTTCACAAAAAGTCAAATATGACAAACCTCGCTGTTTACCACTATTCAGAGGTCAAAGCTACATTGCAGAATACCCGAGCCACTAAATATTAGTAAAATCCAACTAGTGGTCTATTATCAATGTTGCATTCTGATTGGTTGAGCTACTACGAGGCTAGATGTTATAGTCCACTAGTAGTGAGAAGCGCCAGCTTTTTGGCGGCAAAAAAGGATTAAAGTCTAACTTTAACTAGCTTAAGTTGTTTTGCCTCGATATTTTTGACCAACTAGTAGGATTTTACTGAAACAATTATTCCTCTCGCCCTCATGGCCTCTGAGTCAATAGCCCATTCGGCCTTCGACCTTATGGGCTATTGACTCAGAGTCCAATCAAGCTCGATGAATAATCGTTAATTATCTATTTAACTTAAAATTCTGACATCAATTGCAGGAGTGCAATCTGAAAGAAAACAAGTTACTTACATTTGGCATCCTTCCGTCTGGCGGTTAGGAGAAAATCTTTGATTTCGTGGATCTGTTTTGGCTGCAAAAAAAGTGCTAGAGTTAAAAATGAAACAAACGTAAAACTAGTACAAATTCATTTTCTCGTAGCCTTTAATAACATCCTTATTTTAAGAAGATGAAAAAGTCACTTTTACACCAAAAAAATATCAAAGAAGTAGAACTAACCATTGTGAAAAAAACGTGATAGTGATGGACAGACACCTAAAAGTATGAGAGAGACAATTTGTGAGTAAGGGTTTGTTACCTAAATAACAACAATAAGTACCATTTTTAGACATTTGGTGACTAAATTTTCATAAAGCTTTCATATTTATTGGAAAAATGAAGAAATTTTGCAAGGATGACAAAGATGAAGCAGGATTACTATCATCATCATAACAACCTTCCAGTCAAGCCAAGATGAAGTCCGAAGAGGACGGCTCTTGAGCATGCGCCTGTTTTTCACAGCGGTTTTTCTCTATAGACACACAACGTTACGAGATACACGAAGTGGTTACCTGAAACAACATGGCGGACGCAAGTGGCCGTAAGTTATTTTCTTAAATGAAATCACTTTTTCTTTCTTTCAACGTGCAGCTAATTATTTTCAATTTATGTGGACAGATGTAGTTAAAAAGAGGGCCCCGCAAAAAGGGAAAAGGCGCCGAAATGACATCTACGTAAACAGGAAGACGGACTTTGCAGCACAACTTGAGCGATGCCAGAAGTCACTCGATTCAAGGTTTGTTTCATTTTTAAGGGTAGGTTAGAGCTCTAGGGGGAAGGGTTACGCTTGGGGTCCTTGACATAAATGTGGGTATGAGCGGGTATCGCTGCCGCTGATCTGAAACCCTGACCATTAATGAAAAACGAAACTAAAATTCCCTACCCTGTAAATTAGAAGGACGACGATTAAAACTCTGTTTCACAATCCGTTAAGAGAAAAGGAAAAAAATTACGCCCAGAATTGTTTTTTATTTTTTCCGAAATATCAGAAAACTGCCAAGATATCATGTCCTGTTCAAAAGGGCATGAGCCTGTATAGGACCCGCCCCACCCCAATCCAATTCAGGGGATAATAGGGAGCTTAAGCAAAGACGTTTTTGAGCAATGCAGTTCAACCGGAAGTGCACTTTTTGCATTCTTTGGCATTGTTTTTGCCCAGATTTTCAGGCAAATTGCCCCTATAAGTTGAAAAAAAAAAAACAATTCAAATTGATAGCACCAAGTTATATTAAGACAGAAGACGTGTCACTTCCAGTTGACGTGCGTCACCCAAAAACATCTTTTCTTAAACTCCATTTTGAAAACCTGCAAATAATTATTATTGCGATAATTATTATGTCGTTGTTGCAGCTTTACTTTAAATGAGAAATTTAATTAAACCAGTTTTACTTTTAAAAAACATTCCTGCTTGCTACAAAATCAGATCAAATTCCAAGCTTTGAAGAGGCTGGCAGCAGCCCAGGGGGAACTCTGGATTTCAAGTGATAGGGATGATCAAATGGGGCAAAAATCAAAACCCAAAAATCCCTACAGCTTCCAACAAAACTCGAAAAAATCTCTGGACCAGCAATTAACCCCCCAAAGAACCCATGCCAAAATAAGAGAAAAGAGATAGAGAGCCACCTTAATGCTACATAGTGTTTTTTGTGACCATCATCAGGGAAGTAAGAACAAAATTTGTTCTCACTTTCTCAATATGGTACTTAATGATATTTTTTTTCATTTTTAATAGTGAGCAAGAGGTTACAATACATGGCTTGGGTGCTGCTATTAACCGCGCAATTAATCTGGCACTGCAGCTGGAACACAGAGGTCAAGGAACTGTTGAGGTATTTTTAGCAATATTATTGGATGAGGCTGAGTATGATCTGAAGAATTATGGACATCAAGGAGGGTGTTATCAGCCAAGGCCAATAACACCCTCCAAGGCAAGTTCAGGAGATAAAGGGATGTTAAGTTCTGCAGAATATTCTCCAAATAGCAGATGTTGTCTGTTGAGTTGTAATTCTTGCTGTTCTTGCTATGTATTTAGGCAGTAGTTTAGCTATGTCTTCTTCGCGAAACATGTGAAATATTCTGCCACAGTTTTGTACTGCACAACCAAAACAATGCAAGCTCATCCCCAGGGATTCTCATTTGCTGTCCATTTTTCTAGCATTTATCCTGTACTATTGACCTCATTTTCCACATATCGCAAACATCTTCCAAAGTTGCAGGCCAGCGCTAGCTGGTTATGGAGAATTGGCTGTGGAATGTCAGCCAATCAGAAATGGAGCAATATTTTGCATGAATAATAATGTATGTTAATGTACCCCTGAATGTGGGTGGTGTTTGTAAAACTAATATACTTGCCAAGTGTCATGCCTAAGGCGTGATTGTCACGCCTGCGGATCGAAAACTTGGATCTCACGCCTACTCACACCTGTGTTCCGATTTGTCAGTTGACGCCTGGTGGAAAAGTTTGAGCCATTACAGCATTAACTGACACATTTTGAAAAATATATTAGTTATTTAAAGAAACCAGAACCAAAGAGAGAAAAGAAAAGTCTATGTGGATGATTGACTTTCTCCGCATTCTCTTTTTTTAGTAGGGAAGTCAATGTTCCTTTGTGTTCCCATGTTCTTGTTAGACGGAACTCTTCGTAACATCTTCAGAAGTCTTCGGAACATCTTTGGAACGTCTTCGGACATCTTTGGATATAATCGGACCCTACAAAAAATCTTGGCACTCTTAAGATAAAAAATGTAGCGCCTAAAAATGTAAAAAAGTTGGCAGGTATAAACTGAAATATTTACATTGTGCATGTTAAGGAACAGTAGTGGAGTGGTTGACTGTGCATTATCTGGTTGTCATCAAGATGCAAAAGATACTAAAAATATATTAAGTATTCTAACATTACACCTCCTACTTTGCAGGTATCAGCAACAACTTCCAGCGTCAAACTGATTGATGACTTTGAGCCAGAAGATGATGTAAGGATTTCTTTTAACTCCAACGGGTTTTTAATAATTCCACTTCTTCTTGAAAGTACATAACACAATATTACCTCTCACTAAGAAATTTCAAAATTTAACAAAGATCCCATAGGTTCATTAATACTTCTGCCATACAGAAATTTAGTAACTCATGTTTCTGTTGGCTAATATTTCCATCAGTACTTAGTACAAAATAGGCTAGAAAATTTACTGACAAGCTCTTTGAACCATTGAAGTCAACTTTTTATTTATCAGTAAGCACAATGTGTATCCAGATAAAGCAAAATGTAAACAGCGACATCAACAAAGATTTGCCAAAATGCAGACACCTTTGCCTTTTTGCAAATCTTACCTAGTACTGATCCCACCAAAGTTTTTCATACAAAGAACTGACTGGACCTTTCATTATTTTCTTCTGTTTTGCAGGACCGGGAAGGTTACTCCAAAGTACGAACAAACTCAGCCATTCACATAAAAGTGTATAAAAAACAACTGTCACAAGTTGCCATTGAAGGAATCTCTAAAGAAGTCACTTGAAACAATGACATGTCAAACAATGTCATGTCGTATGTTTCTGCTTTGTGTGTCACAAAGAGACTGTACTAAAGTGACAATGTGTTTCTGAACTTCAAAGACAGTTAGAAGAAATAATTATATTGACACAAAAATCACAACTATGTACAATTATTATAACACTTCCTACAAGTAGAGAACAGATGGTGAACTAAAAATCTAAATCAGTCAAGTGCCAGAGTGACAACTGCATAATTTTTAGTTCAGTGGAATACTAACACAGTCATTGCTTTCCAACATTACTTGCTCCTGCAGGGATGGTTTACCAGATAAAACAAGAATAGAATAACCAGTTTATTTTACAAGTTATTTTGCATAATCAGAGTTTTATCTTATGTTAACAGTTATCTGACATTGCTGTACATTTAACTTATTTCACATACCTATTACTTTAACAGAACTGTTATTGAAGGAAACATTCTTTTATATGTTCTGGAGTCATGTTTATAAATAAAGTCTATTCCTGTCTAGACTCCAAAAAGGGTCATTTTTTCCTTAATGCTGCAGCTTGCAAGGCACAAAGCACTGGCAAACTGAACTTCTCCCACAAAGCGTGTAAACATCATATACAAGGAAAGAAAAAGGTTTGCAGGATCTTGCAGTAAGGGTGCAATCCTATGTCTGGCCAGCAAAGTCACAGAACAATCTAAACTGCAAATGTTACACATTAATAGGGACATAACTGGCAAGAAAGGTTCAACACTAACAAGCCATTTTCATGGCTCATTCAGTGTGATGGATCATCAAGGTGTTCTTGGTATTTTTCACTCAACCCCTTTGCTTGTTATTTCCAGCATATGTATGGTGTGTAAATCAGATAAACTTGAACCACCAATATTGCCTTGATCAGCATCAAAATCCTTCAGAGGGATCTCAGCTCCTTGAAGTCCCCATTTATTCAACAAATCTTCAATGGTGCGGCTAGAGCTGGAATACATAAACAACAGATCGACACTTTAAGTCCAACGTGCAGATAGCAAACAATAGACCATTTGCACAATGATGACAGCTTTTTACTACTCTGACCAGAATTCATTTCGTTTTTTCTTTCATATTTTTAAATATTTGGTAATCCCAGTGAGATTTAAATAACAAAAGCCCTAATTTGCACAAGAAAGCAAAACCCTGAAGGATTCTGGTAGTAGTAGCAACAGGGCACCATTGTGCAAATGGCCTATTTCTATGACATCAATGCTTAAAGTGTATATGACAAGAATTTTTTGTCATGATTGGTTTTAATTCCTAGATATGTGTAAAATATGTATTCGAAATTTTAACTCGCCAAAAAACTTGCCAATTGAAACTTTTTTTCTCTTCATCAAAACACGCAAATTTGTCTCCAAAAATGTCTGCCCTATTGCATGACCAAATTGACAAGTATGACATAGAATGTTTTGCGAGAATGTCGAATGATTTATAAGATTGCAGCAAATACAAAGGATTTTTGTTGCTGACAACTCCACAATCATCTACAGAATCTTCATTTACTTAGGCCATACCTTTGTACAGTCAGATACATTATGCTTAATTCCACGCAACACATAGCAATAATCAGAATCGGAAGGGAAAGCTGAGCAAATCAGCTGATGTCATGTGATGTCATTAGCCTTTTTTTTATCCTTTACTCATCCCCAGTCTCTGGGACATTTCTGAAGGGAAAAAAGCAGTTTTTGATCGCCAAAATTCAAGAAATGTTTTGGGAGACACATTTCTGAAGGTACAAATAAAATTAATTAAACTTATCTAAGGACAAAAATCAGTTTTAAAAAATTCATGTTATGTGCACTTTAATAAAACATAAAGTTTACAAAAGTAAAGCAAATTCTCATCATTAGTGCTAAATAGAAATGTATAAACAGTGTATAAGAGAACTAGTGAGAAATGCTGAAACCATAATCATGAGTTCCTCTCCTGAGCCAATCTTGCAAGTCTTTTCTCAGATTTGTCAAATTCAATTCCCACATTATTTCATAATCAAAAACAGGATTAATAGATGTTCAAGTACCTTCTTTCTTGGTAAGTTGTCCAAAACTTTGCTTGTACATTTTTCTCCATCAAAAAGGACACTGTGGCCAGAATGTCATCAAAATCTATATTTTGTAAATAACAAGAGGATAAACATGAGTGTACTTTTTTGCCCCCAGCTACATTTTGTTTTAAAAACAGCTGCTGACATGATGATAGTGGAAACTAAGCAGAGAATATGGACACACTGACACACACTAAAATACATGAAAAGTCAAGATCAAGGGAAGGGCCTGTGCATGGTGCAAACTAATTTCAGTATTGTATACAGCCTGGACCCACCACTCCTCTAAAAGAATGATTCCTCAAGAAACATGGGTCTTGGAAAATTTTGGCCCAATATCAAAATCTGAAAAGCAATTATTGTGATCAGTTTCGAAGTCTCATTTTCAAGTGATTTTGTGTCTTGAAGACTTGAATTTTTTTGAGTCTTGGTCTTGAATTTTGAAACTGGGGTCTCACAGTCTTGTAAAGTCTCAAATTTACGTTTTAAGAACATTTTTACATACTGCATTTCCTTAAAAAAATGCCCAGGCGTGTATTTAAAATTTTGGCTAAAAGGACGGGCACTTATAACATAATGGAAGGAGGGCACTTAATTGAGGGGGCACTTATTAAGTTTTTTTTTTTAAACAAACAGTAACTTTATTTTTTCTAAATCTTTAATTAAAAAACAAATACTATAATATTATCCACATAAACCCACAGTCAATATTAATGCCTTTCATTTGTTAAAACAACGTGAGGGGTAGGGGAGATGGGTGGTTATTCCGGAGAGGTTGGTTATTAAAGCGTGGGCACTTATTCAAGCAAATACGTTATCTTAATACCATAATCACCTTTGGTGTCATAGAAGCAATCAGAGCCAAGAATTATATCAGCTACTGGAAGTCTGAATAGTTTTGGTGAAAACTGCCCCCAAGTTATTCCAACAACTTTAATTGAATCTTGACCATTCACATGGCAACTGTGATGACAATTTCTCAAGCATTCTGAGTATTCTTCCTTATCAGTAAGAGTGACCTTTGCACCACACAGTGAAGCTACAATTCCAGGAAGTGATGTCCCTGCACCAATCTACTAGACAAAAAATAAGAGGCACTTTATTAGAGTGTTAATATGATAAGCACAGAAGTACTTATTAAGGACACTATGTTTCTGTCTCCTATTAGAAATGAGACCATCACTTTATGTGGTCACCCAAGCCATGCAAAGGTATAGTCGTTTGCAACCCAACGGCAGTACCTTCATTTCTCAGTTCTTTTAAGACCCTGATTACTTTCTAGGTCACAGAATTGAACCCTCGACCTCCCACCGTGCAGTCAAAGACTCTACCAGTCCTGCCGTGGTTAGTAGAGTAGGAGTTTCATTAGATAGTTTAAAACGTCGCCTAAATTGACCACCCTCAAGCACTGTCCAGCTCAAAAGCTCCCAAAATTGAAGCTGTTAGAGTACAAGTTTTAATTAACATTTACATACAAAAACATGAAAATAGCAAGACATTAAGTTTTATAAAAATAAGCCTGTACAGACTAGGTCCACAAGTCAACTTAACAATAATAATAATAATTATACTTTTCGTGTACGCTCAGAAAGAAAAGCAAAAATAATATTTTACCTCAATAACTTGTTTTTGTTTTACTTGATCTCTGCTGTGCCAAATGAACTGTGCAAGAACTGGAGCTGAAGGCCAAGTGAACATTCCATACTGCGGATCTACAATCTTAAACAAGATATAGAAAAGGAGACCGAGCATAAGTTAAAAAGAATTCTGAGGTCCACCTCCATTTAAGATTCGCCAAAGTTTAATATTTTCAGTAATCTTATAGCCTGTTCACAGACCCTCTATTTTCTCTTTCGAAAAGAAAAAGGCGAGGAATTGAAACAATCTCTGTCTGCTCTGTGTATAGGCTGGTAATTTTAAAGCGACTTCCAAGGCGAGACTGACATTCCTAAAGAAAGTAGAAGTGTACCTCAGGTATTCGCACATTTATCTCCGTTTTCGTCGACTCGTCTCGAAAGTAAAACGCTCTCTCCACTTGCATTGAGGTTTATAAAAGAACACCACATCAGTCAACTCGGGTAGGAAACAACCAGGCGCAAAAATAAGCACCTAACGGTCCACCGAGCGAGACTTGGTGGCTAGTTACCAGACTTCTCTCATTGTCTAATATGGCGTCTGTTTATGTTCTATGGATGTGCTGAAACGTTTTAATGTTTATAAGTTTTTTTGTGTGTGTGTTTTACTCCTTATAGTAGTATTTCTTTGTTTTCAGAGTTTAATAGTATCGTGTCCTTTTGGTGTTATGTCTTAGTTTAGAGGATATGTAGTAAGTCTGAGTGATGTGTTCCACGTGTTTGTCCACGATGCATGTTTAGGAAGTGGTGTTAGTCACAGTGTTTGTCTGTGTGTAGAGTAAAGTTAGAAAGATATCTCATTAGTTTATCTGACGCAATGCGAATGATTTTAAATGTTTTGGATTGATAACAGCTCCTCAATGTTGGACGTCTTTACTCATATGACACCAACTTGGTGAGTGATTAGAACCGTCTTCCATAAGAGTGAACTGTTGTCGTCACATTTTAACAGATATGTTGGTTTATGATGATATTTTTTTCTGAAACCAACTATAACATATTTGTAGTTTAGTTCCTTATATTATCCCTTCCAGCTCTCAGTAAGTTACTCACTGACTCGATCTCTCCTCCCCGCAGAGGCGTCTTTTTGTCGTAGGGAGGCTGGGGAGAGAAAAAAAACGTCGCAGGGGACGATGGGAAGTGGAAACAGCGGAACCCCGTGGGCTTATTGCTTTTACCACGTGGATACCCAGCCGGAGCCTCTTTGGAGGATAGAGGGCCGTTGGCAAAACCTTAGCCTGTTTCAGGCTCTCAGATAGTGGGGAGGACACGAAAGTAAAAGGCACGCGAAGAATCCTCCC